GGCACATGCTCTTTGGTCTTGCTCTTTTGCTGCCAAATCCTGAGTCCAGTTACATCTAGTTTTTCTTCCTCGTAAATACATTTTTTTATGCTACCTAAGCTAAAATAATGCCCTAAGTTCTAGCTTTTTCATGCTTAATAAACTAAAACAATTCCTTATTAATCAACCTTTTATCTTCTGTTTATTCAGGTGCTCTCTACTTGACTATCCTTTATCCTACTCTCAGCTTTAACTATTCGATTCCTGTTATCAATAGGAAATGCAGAAGGGTCTGAGTGAGGGACATAGTGTTTGTCCCTGGTAAATGCCAGCAGAGCAGGGCAGCTGGCTAGCTCTGTGCTGCTGCTAGAAATCCAGGAAGGCTATCTGTCTGTCAGGGGTTATGTGCCTGGCTCATGCTGGCTTTGCTGAGTACCGGCAGCTGAATCTTGCTGAGCCCTTGGTGGCTTGCCTGGGTGTTGAGCACAGCAAGGGGAATACAGTGCAGATGTTTTTCAAATGCTGCTACAGCAGTCTTGGCACACAGACTGAGGAGAGACCTGGCCACAGTGCCAACCTCTTAACACACTGTGGGGCAGGGAAAGCAGTGCAGCTTCATCTAATGGCCTTGGATCATAGTGGTCAGGATAGGCAAAGAGCTTGACTTTCTGCTGGGAGGCTGAATGTCATGAGGAACAGACTCACCAAGCAGGTTTCCAACCCTGCACCATCTATGGGTGGTATGGACAAGCTGAATTCTGGTCTGATGCAAACTCTGCCCACTGCCCTGTCACAAGCATGTGTATAGACATGATAGTCTCTCATCAGATTAGGTCTTCGAGGTTTGTATTGTGTCATCTTTCCTATGCTGATGACCAGTGTCTGAAGTTCATAAGTATCTGCTCTTACTTCAACTCTTGTTCTCAATTATTCTTAAGTTTTGACTTTAAACACATTTCTGATGCATCACCTAAAGAAGTTGTCAGCATTCAGAATCCATGAATGTGTTAGCTCTGATTCTGCTGTTGTGGTTACCTTTTTCAGGACTATCTTACTGAGTGTAATCTCTTTGCTTAATGAGCCCAACACATTCTCTCCTGCCAATGTGGATGCATCAGTCATGTTCAGGAAATGGAGGGACAGTAAAGGAAAAGACAAAGAGTACGCTGAAATCATAAGGTAAGCTTTGCCATGTGTGATGCTGTGCTACTGCTCTCCTGCTTTGACTCCTATGAAACAGGCTGCACACAAATTGCTGAAACCAGCTTCTCGCTGTGGTTGCTGCTTTGGAAATTAATTTTACAGCTTTATTCCAAGTTCATGCTTCTGGACAGAGATAGTGCAAACTTATGGAGCAGGAGGACTGGGCTGATCTGTCTTTGTATTGTTCTTTTTCAGACTAATCTGGCATGATGCTCTGCAAAACCTATTGGCTGTTAGTTAATTCCATTCAAAGTCCCTGCTTGCATTGCTTTTGGGATGTGATTCAAACTGCCTTCATCCTACTAATTCTGTGCTTGATACACTCATGAATCATAATCTTGTCCCTCCAGTTTAAAGGAATATCAGTAGGATTTGGCAAGCACTTGCACAGTTGGGTTCAATTAGCTGGATGCACTGTTCAGTCTTGAGTGCCCTTTGCATGGTTCATCAGGTTCTGTAGGGAGATGATGCAAATTTGAGCCAAGGATGTTGTGGAGTGGCAAATGGGCAGCCCATACTACAGTGGAACTGCTGTCACACTTGCCTGGGGCAGGACCACATCTGCATTGACTCTGATAGCTGGATATGCAGGATATACCCCTGGTTAGAGCTACGCAGGGCAGTCAGTCACTGGCCTGAGCTGTGCAAAGAAAGAGCCTTGCTGGGAGGTTATCTTAGTCCCCTCCAGCTCCATTTGCTTCAGTGGAGCTGGATGTACTCAATAAACAGAGCATGGCAGACTGAGCAGGTGGGCAGGAGTGAAAGGATAGGCTTCTATCTGCTCCTCTCCCTGCTGGGAGGCAGCAGCAGTTCACAGCCCAAGTGCTGCTAAGAGGCAGCAGCCAAAGCCCATCCTGGAGCAATGGGAAACACTTGTTTCCTGCCATCCCCAGGCATTGCTGGGGTTACAGTTGCATCTCGGTGCAGCCGCATGCTCAGACTGCTCTTACCTTCCAGTGTGAGCTCAGAGCTTGTGGGAATTGCAGTTTTGAGCATGTTGGGGCAGAGTCATCAGTGGTGGAAGGTGGCTGTGGATGGCATCTCTGAACCTACTGCAACAAGCCATCTTAGGAACTCCCTGACCATCCCTTCTGTAGTAAATGTAATGGAATTTGCTCTGAACTCTGGCAGGTCTCTAATGTGGAGTCCTGTAGAATAATTGATTTCATATGTTGCTGAGAGCATGTGTGCTGCAAACACCCTTGGAGTGCTCCCAAGCCTGGGGCTGCAGGCACTAAATCTGTTTTTAGTGCTGCTTGTGGTGCTTCAGCCAAACATCAACTCTCCTGACTCTGAGCTGACAGGAGGGCTGGGCAGGGGCTGGCTGGGAGATGGGGAGTTGACCCACGCTGCTGCCAGTACACAGCCTTGCTCATGTTGCTGTGTCTTCCTTCCCACAGGAAACAGGTTTTGGCTACCAAAGCTGAGGCAGAGAAGGATGGCGTGAAGGTCCCCACTACACTGGCAGAGTACTGCATCAAAACTAAAGTGCCTTCCAATGACAACAGTTCAGATTTGCTTTATGACGACTTGTATGATGATGACATTGATGATGAAGATGAGGAGGAAGAGGATGCCGACTGTTACGATGATGATGATTCTGGCAATGAGGAGTCGTGACCTGCTCCCTCTATGCCCCTGTACTGCCCTGTCAACTCAGGCCAGAAGGGAGCAGTGGTAACCTAGCAGCAGTCCAGCAAAAAAGTGGTGGTGGTGGTGGGGGGGAAATAAAAAAAACTTTGTCTCCTGCTGTCTCCTGTTGTATGGATCTGTTTGCTCCTTTTTTATGGACCTCTTAGAGACCCTTGCAGAATGTCTGAATTCTTGCATTCTTAACCCTTTCATGACTGTATTATGATTTCTTTTTACAAAACAAACTCCCTTTTTCACTTCTCTACAAAATGCTCACAGCAAAACAAGTTTGCTTGTGTTTAGATTCTTGAATTAAATACAGTCCTTCATTGAAATGTTTAATGGAACAAAACTGGAACAAACCCATTGGAAGATGGCTTTTCAGGAGCTCAACTGCTGCATTTACTGGGAAGAAAAAAATCCATGCAAAGCAAATTGCCAGGGTTTAGCTGCTCCATTTACAATAATAGTGTGTATACATTCATTTAGCCTTGTGGTGGTGGTTTTTCCTTTATGAGATGTGGGGTGGAGAGTGTAAAGCTACTGTGTGTTGAGTTTGATGGGATGTTACTGAAAGGTACAAGAATCTGTTTAGTCTGCTCAAGTTAGGAAATAGCAGGCCCCTGGAGCCCCAGAGGGCACAATCAGCTTTATCTCTGAAAAAGGCTTGTGATATGAACCCTAAAATAAACACAACACCACGTCTGTACAACTGAGCCCTGGGTTGCATTATTTTTTTCAGACTAGGCTGGGGTCGAAAAAGTTCAGTTTAGCCATTCAGCTGCCCCTCTACTGAGGGAGGAAACCAGAAAAGTATCCAGCTGCTCAGTGGGCCAGTGTTCATGCTGAACTTGGTTTTGGTAGTGGGAGACTCCTTCCACAATGCTCACCAGTAGCCCTTGCTTCCTGCAGCCCAACTTCAGTGCTAGCCTGAACCTTCTTTCCGTTCCTTATGTAGGTCACCTGTTGGTAAATGCAGCCGTGCTGTAGCTCTGTGGAGTTGACAGAAGAAAAAGTGCCCTTTGGTACCTGTCTGGGGTGGCCAGGCTGTTCCTGTGGCTGCTGAGACATGGAGCAGAGGGATGGATGTGTGCTGGTTCTCCCTTTCCTGCCTGCATGGGGCACAAGTGGATGTGTGCAGCCCCACAAGAGAGAGGGTACACAGTGCTTTCAGGCTGGAAGACAAGGCTGGCAGCAGCGTTTGACAGGCTATTTAGGAGCAAGCTTTAGCTGGTGTCCTGAGCACAGCCTCCTGCATGTTTTTTGGGAGGGGTTGGCTGAGCTTAGGGCCTTCCTGCCTGAGTGGTGCTTTGGTGGGAGTAAACTTTGTCCTGCAATTAGCTTGGTGGCTGTGTCCCAAGGCAAGGAGCAGCATGAGAGTGAGCAAGCTTAAAGTGTGCTGCCTGGAAGGAGAGGAGGTGAAGGCAGACCTTGGGGCGGGGAAGAAGGCCTATGGGGCTCTGTTTGAAATGAGCAAGGCAGATCTGTTTTCAAAATGTTGCTTGGCTGAGGTTTGATGCAGCAGGGACAGTCCCTGTCCTAGGGTATGCTAGTGTGCATCCCTCTGCCCCCAGGGAGTGAAGACAGCCCAAGTTGTGATACCTTGTCCCTCGTGCTTTCTGTGCACTTCTGCTTGCATGTTACCTGGGGAGGCAGCTGAATCCCTCCTGAAGTGTCCCACATGGGCTCCTTCAGCTAATTCTTCCATCAAGGACTAACAGCCCCTGGCGCCTTTTCGAGCTGGTAGCGGGACTCCCCTGCATCTAGTGACAGTATGGAGCACCCTCAGCTTCATGCCAGCCCCTGCAAGGGCAGTGCCAGTGTTGGCAAATGGGACCCTGGCACTCCTGGATACAGGACTGGTCTTGGGGCCACACTGGGACTTGGGGGGGGAGGGGCAATGTATGGCAATGCTGGCTGTGCTGATGTCTTGGCTTGAAATGATGATACTGTATCTTTCAGGATTTCCCTTGTACTTTTGACCATCTTCACTGTATACTCTCTAGTGAGTTATATTTTCAAGCTTGGTATTGTAAGATGCATTATCACAATTCTTCTGTAAACTTTTTTTTAAAGACAAAAAAAGCAACCTATTTTTGAGAGCTCTGACAGTAACCAGACTAATTTCTCTTCCCCACTGTCCTGTGCAGTGTCATTGCTTATTGACTTGCTGAAATATGAGGGTATTGTGTTGGGTTTTGGTTGGGTTTTTTTGGTTTTTTTAAACTATTTAAGAAATTGTGGAAAAAAAATGTTTACTGATCTGTGTATTGGTTTTTTTTCTTAATCTTTTTCATAGCTCAGCCAATATAAGTGTTTACATTTGCAACTACCTGCCCTTTCAAATGCAGTTTTCAACCATTCTGAAACCAGCAGGGTACACTAGATTTCTTAGTAGTTTTCTTAGCTGAAATTCCATATGGTTTCCTTTTTCCCTTCAGTATAATTTACCAGAAACAATTAACTAATGCATTTTTATGTTGTCTTCCCTCTCAATAGTTATATTTTGTCTTTTCTGCACATCTGTCTACTAATAAAAATGTGAAATGAAAATATGTCAGTACTTCCCTGTTAATTGAGTTGTTTTATTTGCATAGGTTACTTAAAGCTTCGAATAACAGCTGTTCACAGTTTCAGTGGTGCTCCAGTATCAATGCCTATACATAAATATCTACAAGGTTATTGAAAAAATAAAGCTGCTGTTTGACAGCTGCTAGCACCTCAGATTAAAGAACAAACTGATTTGGAGAAGCACTTTGGCAAAAGGCCATGGGCTTTGCTGGTATATTTATTTATTCATCTTAAGTCATCAAATGGGAGGTCAGGGAGAAGACAGTTCATGGTGGCATGTGACTGCAGCAAGCGGGAAGGCAAGAACTTGGGGAAAAGGTGCTGCTGCCATGGGTCTGGGGTGCTGCTGGTGGCCAGTTCCCTGGCAGGGCAGGAGCATGGTGCTCCTGAAATTGTCAGACAAGGTAGTAGGGGAGCTTGTTTTCTGGGGTAGGGTGCTTTGACCTCATGCAAAAGACTGGCAGAGGAATTGAGACAATCACTGCCAACCACTCCTTCGGGGTGCTTGCCCTGCCTGGCCCAGGCTTGAGTGGAGAAGGTCTTGGTTTTGCAGTGCTAAATTAGCAGGACAAGTGTACAGGCACTGCATTTGCTACACTTGACATTGTAGCACAGCAACTGCTGAGTGAAATGTGATTGGGGCCTGAATGGTTCTGCTTCACAGCCATGCTGGAAAAACAGTGATGGCATTTCAGAGCTGACCTCCTAGAGGAGTCTCCATATTGGGGAATGAGACTGAGAAGGATGGTGCTGTGCCTAGGCCTTGCTTGTAGCTCCTGCCTGGCTCCTATAGTAGCCCTGAGTTGCTAATAGCTTCTTAATGTAGCAAAATGTGGTGTACCCAAGCCAGGACAAAAGCTCCAGGCTGCCCTGCAAACCTGGCTGCCACTTATGCAGAGTGGTTGGTTTTTGGGGGTTTTTTTTTGGGGAGGAGGTGTTGGTTTGGTTTTTTTTTTCTCCATTTCCTTGATGGCCAAGTGCAGCTGAGCAACCTTGGCTCTACCATCAGACTGTGGAACAGAGGCTTAGAGAGGAAATTGCTGCAGAAGAGCCCTGCTGGAGCTGATAGGATAAGGAAAGGGGAAAACATCCTGTTCAGTCTTGCCAGGGGAGGGAGGGGAGACATTAAGTCCTCAGCTTGCAGAAACATTTCAGGCCCTGAAGCCAGTGGCAGTGGGACAGCAGCTGCCAAGGGCTTGCAGCAGCTGCTTAAGTTTGACCATTATCAAATGCTAGTGCAGTTCCTGTTATGCTGCTCAGAGGTAGGAGGCCTGAGTGACACACTGACTTCTTCCCAGCTAACTGGATCCCACAGAACCTGAGAGCTAATGAAAGTGTGACTCTAAGAAAAGTGGTTGACATGGTACAAACAAATTTTTCCCCCCTTGTGGGAAACGGAATTAGAAAGTGCAAAAAAAGCCCCCACCTCTTGAATGGACACATAGGGCTTCATATTTACCCACCTCCTCTGCTGCACAGGGCCAGGATCCTCAGGAGGATGAGCCTAGGGCAGGAGCTATCCTTCAGGAGCCCTTACCACTGACCTTCCTCCTGGTGGAGGCCATGAACTTCATGGGCAAAGCAAGGTAGGGCGATGGTGCTGTGCTCCCTTCCTTACCACTCCCAGTTGCTCCACAGGGCCTCAGACAGAGCACAATACCAGAGGATAGCAAAAGCAGAGACATGATGCTTGTGGCAGGAGTCAGGGTGCTTCCCAGGATCACATCCCTACTGCAGGTGCCTATGAGCTCTCAGTACCAAGGTGTGCTCAACCTTTGTCATGGTATTCAGCATCCCCTGCAGACCCATTTCCTGCTCTTACCCTCCCAGCAGGAGGAGCTAGAAAGGGACAGGCTTTTACAAAGCAAAACTGTTTGAGGTCTTTGAAAATGCAGACAAACACCAGTAATACACTGAGATATTTATTAGGTGGAGCAAGGGCTAAAAAGAAATGAAACTCCTAAAACATTCACCACAGTGGTGCAGGACAAGAAGGACCAGGAGTTGCCTCCAGGGTCTTGTTTTAGAAAAAAAGTGGAGAGGGACAGGTGAAGTTTCCATCAAGTAGCTGTGTCTTTCCTGGGCAGGGTGGTTCAAGGCAAAAAGAGGTACAAGACAGCTTATACTTTTAATTAAGAAACCACTACATAGATTTTGCCTCTAATGACAGAAAAGAAGTTGCAGAACCCACTGAGCCATCCAAAATCTCTTGCTACAGAAACAGAAAAAGAAACCCCAAACCCCAAAACACAACAAAAAAACCCCACAACAACAAAAAAAGCTTTTATTATTAAAAAAATGAAAAATAAAAAGGTGAGGCTGCAGCTCAGGGCCACAGTGAAGAAACTGCCCACAGGAGTTCATCTTCCACAGCAGAAGGAGGGAAGAGATGAAAGAAAGGGGAATACCACAAACCTTTTCTTTTTCCTTCCCCCTACCCCTTTTTTCTCTCTTTAAAGTAACAGCTGTATTGGGGGCTGAGGACAGAAATCAAACTAACAGAACACACCTTGATTTTTTTTTGGGGGGGGAGGCAGATCTCCTTATTTGCCTGAATTTAGAACTGCATTCAATAAATGGGCTCCAACTAAAAAAAAATAGTTATAGTTTGACAGTTATAAAGCT